TGAAGAGCTACACTGACTCTTCACTGAAGTATGCAGTGATGTGGTCAAGATCTTTTGTTTCTTCTATGATCACCTGCCATTTAGTAATGGATACCTGTAGAAAATTTACCACTCAGGTCTGAGAACCCAAGAACAGACATCAAGAATTCAGAATCCATTCTACTGCAAGTTAAAAGACCTCTGAGCATTCCCTCTTATTGTGGAAAAGGCCATTCCTGACCCATCATTTATGCCAGCAGCAAAGAGCACAGCCCTTACAGAGAACACACAAGCCTTGGTTACTCGGCACCACTCACCTAACCCAAAAGTCATGTGGCCATTCCTCATTGACAAAGAAGAAAACTATCCAACAGAATCATGGACCCTCAATGGAGTACCCAACAAGCAGTGGGGAGGTACACAACACTGTATGTCACTACTCTTTCTACGATGACACTGGCCCAGGAGGGCTATTAGCCCTGCCACATGATGCTAGTGAAGCCATGTAGCCTAGCCATTCACCTCCCAAGATGCAAAATATGAACTGAACATCAAAATCAGTCAAAACCTGACACTTCCCTCCCAGCCACAGAGGAAGGACATCCTGGAACTCTGGAGTGCAATGCTGGTAGCCCTCAAGGACATCCTCAGTACAGAGTAGTGCTGTCAATGTCATGAAGGAGCACACTGCTTTGACCCAGCAAGTCCTACAGGAAGAACTCACTTACAAGTGCTGATATAGGCCACACTCTCAAGAGTGGCGGGCTGCATGGGTGAGGCTACCCATCAGCAGCTATGCCAGAAAGTTCCAAAAACTGACAGACTAATACCAGGGAACTCTATGATGTCTCTTACAAAATTACCTCAACAGACTTCCTAGCAGGCAAAAACAAGATGCAAAACAGTAATATAGAGTTCTACCACTTACGCTTGTTTTCCTGAGACAGGGTCCCTCTATGGAGCCCTGACTGGCCTGCGCTCCCTGATCATGCTGAGCCTGAACTCAGATCTGACTGCCTCTGCCACCAGAGTGCTAGGACTAAAGGTATGCATTACCACATCCAGATTCATCCACACTTTAAAGAGGGAGGGATGGTGCTTTGCTTGGAAGCACATGGCCCATCTCAGAAGGATACACAAGAAATGGGCAACACCAATTTGGTTCCAAAACCAGATGATGGGCTGGGGGCTGAAGCAGTGGCTCAGAGGTTCAGAGCACTGGCCAAGGACCTGGGTTCAGTTCCCAGCACCCACATGGTGGTTCTCAACCATCTGTAACTCCAGTTCCAGAGGTCCACTGCTCTCTTCTGGTTTCTGCAGGCACTGCACACTCAGTACACAACATACACGCAGGCAAAACACCCATCCACATAAAAATGTTAAAGATTTGACTTCTGAGGCAAAGGCTAAAATATAAATTGGACATTTTTCTCTGACTTTATATATAAAGTCAAGGGAAATGTTGGTAAATTATGTGTGGCCGCCAGGCCCAACTGCCAAATCAAGCTTGGGAATAAAGTCCCACGGGAGTCTAGCTGTGCAGAGCACTGACTCTCTCAGGCTTTCCAGCATGGACCTCAGAGGACTGCCCTGCTCCCAAGCTCAGCAGATAATCTTTGTAAATAGCTCATTAACAGAGTTCAGTCACTTGACCGCCCAGTGTAGAGAGATGCCAGAGACACACTGACATGGTGAGCATCCATGACGACCACATGACAGGCTGGCTGGCTTGCTGAGTGGACAGAGGACGGACACCGAAACACTATTACTCAACGCTCATGCAGCCGTGGTGCCAATAAAACACCAGTGTGGTCAGCATATGGTACAAAGACATTGTCCAGTGACAGAAATAGCACCCCTGAACGAGCCTACAGACTACGGAGAGTTACGGCCCCGACTAAACTCCATCTCATCTGAGTCCCAGCTATAGAGGCCAGAGGCACAGACACAAGCACTGCCCCCCTCCCCATGTGTGTACCACCAGGCAGACCTGGTGCTAGGCAGCTCACAGCAACCTAATAAATGGTACAGTGGCTTGCACTGCCAAGCTGAATGCACATGGCCAAATCACAGTGTTCACAAGCAAACAGTCACTGAACCTCCATGGCATGGCTTAACCGACATGTACCAGGCAACTGTGATTAACAGCCAGTTGTTCAAAGGAAGAATACACAGTGAAGATAAGGAGATGCTCTGTGAAACTAAAGCACAGGGCTGACAGGTCGCTTGGTCCTTGTCTCCCTCCCCAGGGGGTGGCATTCATGTTAGAGAAACATCTCCATGCTAAGGTATAGACATCTGTGGATTAGTGAGGCACTCACAGAACATTTGCATGACTGACTGCTCCAGTCAGAATGTGAACTGAGGGGCTTAGCAACACTCTTGTGGTCAACACACCTACATGCCTCACTTTAAAGAGCAACAAAAACTAATTTAATGAGCAATTTGCAGAGCAGGGCATCTTTAACCTAGAATTTAAAAATGTTAATGTCCTATTCAGCTGGTTGTTACAATCAGTGCTTTTCACTGGGTTGGAAATTCTGTGACTAGAGGGAGTCAATGCATCTGTTAGTTAAGAAGCAAGGCCTTTGAGAGTAACACAGCATAAAAGAGGAGCAGAGCTGAGGGCGAGGCTCAGTGACAGAGCCCTTGCTTATTAGCAAGTGAAGCCCTAGTTCCTAAAGAGAGAGAATGGTTAAACAAGACTTCAAACAATCACCATAGTCTGACTTCACTGGGAAAACACCAAAAACAAACAAGGTAACAAAACTGAAGGCAAAACAGACAAACTGAGCAATCAAGTCCTTCCTTTGGGAACCAGAGCCTTTCCAGCTCGGAGAAGGAAACAAGAGAGAAGAATCCGGTGCCTCCTCCTTGCCCCTTCCTGGGAAGTCACTCCGGTGGCTTCCCCAGGGGCTCCCCAGCTAGGAATGAGGGAAGGGCTGACCCAGCACAAACTGCTGCCTTCCAGAGAGGCCTTTTGCTGCCACTCTGGGTCTTATATGTAGAAGCCAGGATGCTTCAATTTTTGAGCACCACACTACCCCAAACAATGGCACCTATGAATCATATTTGACTGCACAGTTCAAATATATGGGGGGAAATGAAACATACAAATACCATTGGAGCCTGGAATCCAAGTGTGAGCAGCAGAGAAGAGGAAATACAACAGGGCTGACTGAGCTGCGCTGACGTGAACCAAGTACACCCTTCAGTGGAGCCCAAGCTTATCAGCAGGTACTGCCGGAACCATTTACAAAAGAGGAAACAGGCAGGGGCTGGGGAGACAGACACTCAGCAGCTAAGAGCACTGGCTGCTCTTGCAGAGGACCCAGGTTCAGTTCCCAGCTCCAATAATAGCTCAAAACCACCTGTATGTAACTCCAGTTCCAGGGGATCCAAAGCCCTCTCTGACCTCTAAGGGCACATAGCATGCATGAGGTGCACAGAAATACACATAAAATATAAAATACATTAATCTAAATTTTTTAAGAGAGAGAGGCAGAAGGAGGTCTAGGCAACCTGCCTGAGGTCACACTGGGTCATAGGAGACAGGGCTGGGCAGCTTATGTGCAGAGCCTGCCTCTCCAATTCACACCACTGCTGTGTAGGAAAGGGAACTCCTTCATTAGGAGAAGGAGCCCTTGGCTCAGGTGTTTCTTCCCAGGAAGACCCTGACTGCCAGTGGGGTAGAGAGCAGCAAACCAAAAGGAACCTAAAGCCAAAAGAAATCCACACATCTCCCCTGATCCCACCCAAAAGGGGCGAGTTCTGTAAACCAGCTTTAAGACTGAGGACTTGGCCTGCAATCATATGCTAAAATGCGGCGATAACACGGCCATCAGCCGGGCGTTGGTGGCTCACGCCTTTAATCCCAGCACTCAGGAGACAGAGGCAGGCGGATCTCTGTAAGTTTGAGACCAGCCTGGTCTACAAGAGCTAGTTCCAGGACAGCCTCCAAAGCCACAGAGAAACCCTGTCTCGAAAAACCAACAAAACAAAACAAAAAAACACGGCTATCACCCAAGAGTTAACAAAAGACTTTCTTCCTGTCTGGCTCACACACAGCAGCAGGCACTTTCATGCAGCTAATGACAACAAAAACTATAACGTAAAATTTTCATTTTATTTCCTAATTTTATTATATTACTGTGTATATGTGCATGGGGCACATGCCATGGTAATACATGGGTGGAGGTCTGAGGATAATTTTGTGGAGTTGGCTCTTCTCCTTCCAGGGATAGAACTTGGGTCATCAGGTTTGTGTAGCAAATATCTTGACTTGCCTAACTGTCTCACTGGCTCTGCCTTAGAATGTGATTTAGCAATGACCATCTACATGGTGATGCATTTCCTAAAGACAGACTGCACAAGGATCTCTGCAAGTTGCAGTGTGTGGTGCAGCATTCCCTGAGGTGGCCCAAACAACAAGGGTGGCCTACATACATACACACCAGTGAGAGTATTGGCTACACAGCCTATGAGCTCTAAACACACACTGGAACTCTAGGGCAGAGCTGGGACATGAGATATGAAACGCTGTCTGAGGTACATTGCTGAGTAAATGCTACACACAGAACAGGGCACAAACCATGACCCCACGCCTGCAAAGACCTGCCCCTTGTCAACAGACGTGTCTACATATGCTAGATTCTTGTCCTTAGACATCTGGAAATCACTAATAACCAACCATGTACAGTCAAGAAGATACTCTTCATCTCATGTTCCATTTACTTGCTTGGATTTTTCTGCCATGCTAATACACTGCCCTGACACGGTTGAAAACAAGAGTATTAACACATCACATCGTAAGGCATAGTGGTTCACACCGCTACTCTGAGCACTTGGGAGGAGGCAGGGCAGGAGGCTACATAGTGAGTTCAAGGCCAGCCTAGGATATCCAAGACCCTATTTCAAGTAACTAAACCAAACCAAAACAAGAAGAGCTTAATTTTCCAGCTACATTTAAAAAATTAAATACATGCTATTTCTTGCTAATGTACAAGTCACTGTTTCCGTACCTTGTTTCCTTCATATACCCATCCCAGACTCTTGACTCCAAAGGCAACCTGGGTGGCTGAGACATCCAGACATGTGGCAGGCTGGCCGTAGACATAATGAAGGGTTCTGGCTGAGTCCTCGGCCTTCAGCAGGTATACCAGGTCCCCAGCTGTGGCTATTGCCACGGGGTACCTCCCAGTATCCGGGACTATTTCCAGGTAGTCAACCTGCAAAGAGAGTTGTTTAGTCACCCACAGTCATTTTGACTTGTTCAAGAAAGGAATGTCCCCTGTACATCAAGAGGACAAAGGCCTAACTCACAGAAACAGTTGGGCACAGGGATCATTTATAGGGGATGAATATGGCTTCTGCCCAGATGAAAAGATGCCTGTAACAGCGGAAACACAACGTACTCTGAGAAGGGAAGCCACAAGGGAAAGTCTACGGAGACCCCATTTTCCACCTGTCGATCCATGAGGATCAGGGGAAGTCAGAGGTTACAGAGCTGGAGGTGAACAGGGGACATAATCCAGTCCAACTCCTTCTCTGGAATGACTGGCAATGCCTACCACAGCGGCAAGCTCACGCTGACCCAGGAGATCCCTCTAGCAGTGCTTACACACCATGCACAGCAAAGGTTTATGCATGGTGTCACTACAGTGCCCCTCCTGTCACTGTGCAGACATGACACAGACACACAGCAAATGCCATACATCCACAGGAGAAAACCTGAAAGCTGCTTATGATTCAGTGGGATCACAGTGGAGATGAACTGGGTCTGGGGGAGCAAGGGAACAGTATTCCTAGTGGGTTGCCCCCAAAATTCTGGCAGATGGGCGGAGCTTCAACACACTTGGCTCAGGCCTGGGTATGTCTGGTAACAATGGCTATCTTCAAGGGTGGAAGCAGGCTGAGATGGAAAGGCATTTCCAGCTGTTCTGGGTCTTATAAATCCTGAACATGGCAGTGTCTAGAGCTATCCTTAATTATTTTGTTGTTTTACCAGAAAGTGAAAAAGTAACACTCCACCAGTTCCAAATGCAGAAAAACATTCTGGAAAACGTGTAGGTACCACAAAGGCATCACCAGAGGATCCAAACTGTGTTCTTAGCTCTCTCCTCTCTGCCTGTCAGGCACTGATCACCCTGTGCCATCTTTCATCTGAGGATAGAGACCAGTACAGACAAAACACACGCTTGTCGGTGTCTTCTCTGACTGCACAGGGGGAAGATGACTCTTTAGGATGATCCGCTTCTCCCCAGAGCAGTCTTCATCAGGCACACCTGCTTAGAGTGTGGGTGCTGAGGGTGAATCCACTGTGGAATTATAAAAATCCGTGGTGTAAAGGACAGCATCACCCTGACAATATGCCAGAGGCTCTCAAAAGCCCGAGTTTTGCAGGCTGCCCTGGGGAGCTGAGCACAAGCAAACATCCGGTGCCTGTGCTAATCCTGGGCCCAAACTGCACCGAGGCAGCCCAACATCTTGGGCTGTGTGTCCATCACAAAGGCCAGCTGCTCCAAGCTAACACTGCAGACCTGGGAACATTGCCACTGTTATTTAGGAAGCACAGCTAGGGAACAAAGATGGTCCAGCTCCATGGGTGGGGGTGCCTGATCCAGGGATGCCCAGCTTATACTGTGGCAACTTGGCACCCAGACTGGAAAATAATGCTCAGGGTTGACACATCTTCTCACTAAAGAAAACTCATTTCTTAGTTTTTTGCAACAGACATCTTTTCGGCAGCTGTTTAACTTCATCTTCCGGTTGGATTTCCAGCAGACCAAGAGGCTCCCACCATTCGCTGGGAGGTGTAAATGACCTCAAAAGCTTCCAGTGGGCCCCAGGATGACACCTATTGCCAAGACAGGATTTACACTTCATGGGGGGGTGATCAGCTTGCACAACTGAGCCCTGCACTCCATGTCTCTCTGTAGGCCCTGGGATGGGTCATATTAAAGGAACTCCATATGAAAGCCTCGGAGCTGATCCGCAGCAGCAAGCAGCTCAGGGAGGCAAAGCGGTGATGCCAGGTGCTTGCTATTCAAATCTAAGTTTCCCACAGGGAAAGGGAGAGAGAAGCTGGTTCCAAGTCGCCATCAATCCTTGTTCAAGGCTGGCTCTTCTGCTCCTCTAACTAATGCCAAAATGAAGTGTGCTCAAATTAAATCCAAATTCAGCACAGATAGACGGACACTGCCTTATCACCAAACCATCTCTGCCTGGTGAAGAAGATTCGCATACAGCTGAACTTGTCAGAGCCCTGTGTGAAGCTCTAAGCTGGCTCAGCTTCATGTGCATCCCAGAGCCCAGCTCCCAATCCACACTGACCTCCATGGACTTCACTCAAAAGCTATTCTCAATTCTAGATGAGGCAACAGTCTGGGGTGAATGCTTCCTTCCACACGGACTACAACAGACCGCTGCCGTGCATGTAGATGTCAGGCCAGAAATGAAGCTCAGGCTCCTGGAGTGAGTCTGCTGTGCTAGAGGGAAGGAGGCTGGGACCATGGTAAGAACAAACTCTGGCCCTGAACCAGTTCCATGTTTGCAAGTGCTGCTGTGGTGTTTTGCTTTAGAAGTGAGGCTAGGGGTGGAGAGATGGCTCAATGGCTAAGAGCACGTGCAAAGGGCCTGAATTACACTGCCAGCTCACAACCACTTGCAAGTCCAGCACCAGGGATCCATCCTCTCTGATCTCCTCATGAGCACACACCCAAACACATAACTAAAAAAGAAGAAGGAAGGACGAGGCGGAGGAACAAGTAGCAGTAGTAGTGGGGAGGCGGGGCTGGAACCCTGGCCTCATGCACACTAAGTAAATATTCTACCATTAAGCTATAGCCTCAACCCCACACTTGGATGTGAGTCACAACTTCTCAGCTCAGAAACCAGGGGCAGGTCACTCCATCACTCTGAGCCATTCCTGACTTCTTGGAAATGAAGGAAATTCTATTACCCACTTCAGTGGGCTGTTGGGAGTTGCATGAACAGAAGCCCCAGACATCACTGCTATCTGTTTTATCAGACCCAGGGAGTCTCAGAATGCAAGCAAATAAACACATTAGAGCTCACCAGTTTCTGAACTTCAAATTCCGCAGCTACATGCCAGTACCCCTCCTCGTTAGGGTACAACATCACAACGTCAAAAGCAGAAGCTGTGGCAACTGTAGCCTTTTCCCGGCTGAGCGCAAGGGCCTGTATTCTTGCATCATGCTCAAAACGATGGATAGGGAACTTCCCGGTCCTCAGGTCCCAGATGTTAAGAACCCCTAGGAGGAGCAATGCAGAGAGCAACTGTAAACCCAGTACACACAGACACAGAATAAGCATGCAGTCATTTTTCAAGTTTATTACGTGGAGATGACATTTGTTTGAATCTGTTCCACTGCTTCCTAGCTTCAGGACTTGAGTGTGTCACTCCTCACCAGCCTCCTAATACTGGAGACAGCAGTACCACAAAGGACTATTGGGCAGACCACGGGAGACCCTCCATAGACACTGCGGATCATTTCCTCTAGGGCTCGTCCATAAAGCCAGTTCTAGCTCCCAACCTTCCCACCACGGGACAGTGACATAAAGCACTCTCAGTCTCTGTGAGGTCCATTGTCTTCTTTCTTCCTGGCACCACACTTCATCTCTACACTCGAATTCAGGCTCTTGCTCTAAAGTACCATCCCTGCTTACAGACAGTTGCAAGATTTTGTTGCAAGATTTTCAGATGGCCTGCAGCTGGTCATCACAAACAGCAACAGGGCCCTCCTCCAGGGAAAGGCTTAAATATGAACTGCCTGCACTTTTCTAAGAACTATCTATAATCAAATGGAGGCCAGGCAGGTTACAAAAGGCTCTGTGACAGGGTCCCTGGCATATACTCTGGTAAACTCTCTCTTCTGTCTCAGAGGGAGATGTGCTACAGAAAATGCACTAGCGCTCCCCCTTCCCCGCTAGAGGCCTCATCTTAATATGGCCTCTTGCAAATGCTTTTGTGAGTTTGTTCTGAGGCCTCACACAGTGAGAAGTGCTGCACAGAGCCTCTGGGCACTTCCTATCACTTCATATCCTTTCACTGTGTACGCTACTCAGGGAAGAGCAGTTTTCCCATTCCACAGAGGTGGGACAGAGGAAGCTCCGGGTGGCTGGACATGACCACCTGCTCTGAGAGACAGCTGGGCTTGGTGAGGACTGACACACCACCAAAGGCATGCCATGCTCTGCCTGGCATGGGAGTTGTTTGACACAGTGCACCCTGAGCACACATAGAGTGTATCTACAGACACAATTTTCATTCTTAGATAAGGGCTGATGCGGTTGGCATCCTTTAACTGGATATAGTAAACATGTAAACACACAGTAAACACACCTCAGCACAAAGCCAAGCTCCAAGCTACCTCAGACACTCAGGGCTCCTTTATCATAATGGCTACTCTATTCTCTCCAAGCACCTGCCACACTGTCACCATTTAACAACCCCTCTTCTTCAGTTGTATATCTATGTGTACAACTAGGCTGGCCAACCCTTGTCAATAGCACTGGTGTCGCTGCAGTCCCCTAACACAAATTCTGATGTGCAAGCATGTAGTGTTCTCTTGAATTAAATGTCCCTTTTTCACATATAATGTCCCTCTCTGTCCCTTGCTAGAGTCTCTGCTCTGAAGTTCACTTGGCCAATCACCCAGAACTCTGGCTTTGTTTTGATTCTTATTAAAATTAGCCTTCCCTATCTGTTTATCTTGCTTTGTGTCTTTAAAGTGGTTTTCTTGGAGGCAGGTATGGTGACACACACCTGTAGCCTTGGCATGAGGCAGCAGACTGATAGTTTGACATTAGCCTGGGTAACACTGCAAGTCCAGGATGAGCAATAACTTGTCTCTAAATACATATACATATAAAGTGGGTTTCTTGTAGATAGTATATATTTGGTTTTATTTTTAAATACAAGTTAAGACTACTTACATTTTTAGATCTATCGTATTTTTTAGTTATATAAATGTATTTGTGTCTATGTGTATGTGTGTCACATGAGTGCAGGTGCCCATGAGGCCAGAGGCCTCAGATACCCTGAAGTTGGAGTTACAGGTAGTTGTGAGCTTCCCAGTGGGTGTTTGGAAACACTCTGCAAAAACAGCAAATGGTCTTAACCACTGAGCCATCTCTCTAGCCCCACTACTTACTTACACATTTTTTATCTTTTCATGGATCTGGGTTTTGATGATGTATTTATTCTATCTTGATTTCTTTGCTGGCCTACTAGCCAAAATTCTCCCTGAGATTATTGAGCAGCTGCTTTAGACTTCAAGATACATGCTTAGCTCACCATACACAGGCTAGTTTCAAGTGAAACTATTCATCCACACAAAGTACAAGGACTTCACAGCCATATGGCCATTTCCCCCTCCCTATCCCTGTACTACAGACATCATAAACTTTTGTTTTTACAGGAGCGGATGGGCCAGTACCTTTTAGAGTGATGCAAGTAAGAAAGGGAGCTACTTGTTTCCATGCATAATCACCAAAATCACATTAGATACCCAAAAGCTTTGGCTAGGACACAGGGTAGCAGCGGGGCAGCTCTGTGACAGAGAAGCCGCTCAGTATGCACAAGGTCCCCCTACTCCCCAAATCACTAAAGGAGGAGAGAGCTGAGGAGAGGGATGGACAGACACCAGACTAAACACAGTTCCACCCAGTACTTTTCAACCTGAGAACCGCAGAAGTTTGAAAAGTGAATCCTTCCGCTATGAGAATGTCCCATGCTACAGCAAGGCATTACAAGAAAGTGGAGCCAATAAAGTCACACACTGAGCAAGGGGGCTTGCTGTGCCCTGTGCTGCCTCAAGGGTTGTGTTAGGACAGTATAAAACAGAAATCCCTTACTACATAGAGCAGAATTCTGGTGGCGTCTACAAAGCATCTTACTTGTAGCCTCTGAAGATTTAACTGTCAATTTCATACAGCCTAGAGTCACCTAAGAAGTGAGTCCCGATTCAGGAACTCCACACAGGAACTGCACGATGGGGGTAGAGGTGGGGCTGTTTTGATTGCTAATTGACATAGGAAGGCCCAGCTCACTATGGGGTAGCACCATTCCCTGGCAGGTGGCTCTGGGATGTGTATGAGTGGGTGAGCAAGCAACTTCCTCCATTGTTTCTGCTTCAGCTCCTGTCCTACCTTTCTCAGTGATGGACTGAGAAGTGTAACCCAAATAAACTTTTTCCTCTTCCCTAAGTTCTGGTCAGTGTTTTATCCCAGCGCTGGAGCATCCTCACCCCTGCAAGGAGCAGCTGACCTTTCTGGGCACTGAGTTGAGTTAGTCCAGGGAGATGTCAGAACTAAGCAGTTCACTTCTCAAACAGTACAATATTTAAAAATCTGATGTGGAATTGTCTGAATGACCATATTACACCCCCAGCAGCAGGGCAGACTAGGCTTCTGGCACTGGATGACATATAAAGAGGCAGGCTGTGTGGTGGGTGTCTGTACTCCCCCGATGGTGGGTTCGGAGGGAGTAGTACATTTGCAGAACCTGGCCAATGCTCACCCCATTTCAGTAAGAAACATTCAGCTGATTTTTATAATCCCTCATGGAAGGCCTCACCCTCCCTGGGTAGTGGATGGGGGATGGGATGGGAATGCCGGTGTGGGACACAGGAGGATGGGAGGGAGAGGGAACTGGGATTGATATATAAAATAAGATTTTTTCTAATTTAAATAAAGTTTATTTAAAAGAAAAGAAACATTCAGTTGTAAGAAACAGACCCCAGTGGAGCTCTATAGAAGGAAACTGACCAGACAGGCACAGGCCATGCCCCACAGGACAGGTAAAGTTGACAAGGGATCAGAACCAGCAACCAGACCACACTGAGGACAAGGCCACTTGTGCATGCCACAGATCTCACCTCTAATCTCTATAACTGTTCCTCCTCTCTGTCTCCACAATTCAGCTTTCTCTAAAGGAGTCGGCTCCATCCCACAAGGGCTTCTACGCCAGGCATGTGAACCCTGGTCCATGAACAGGTCCCCAGCCCTGGTCTGATCAGCCAATGCCAAGAGATAACTCAAGTCCTCCCAGTCTGCCTACGGCCTCCTGGCTTGGAATAGATCTTAGAGTGCGGAGGTACTGAGAAGTTGCCCTCCACCTTCCCTCCTGCATCTCAGGCCAAGGTAAAACAAGAAAATCTCTCAGCAAAGGCAAAGGTAGGTTCCTGGCAGCTACCTGGTGACTTATGAACTTATCACCATTTTCTGCAGTAGTCCCGAGCTCTGAGAGCTGGAGGAATGTAACAAAGGTAGCAGACATCCACCCTGAGCATCTTTCGCACCTGCAGAGGAGATGCTGAGCTCCAGGTAGTGCTGGGACGAGAACAAAACTGGTTTACACAGCAGAAGTTCAAAAAGGGTGCAGACAAAGAAAGACACTGTCTTTCAAAGCCCTTCTGAGAGAAGACAGTGAGTGAAGGCCAAAGCCCCTGAAGCAGGCAGGGGTGGGACCTGGCAGCACTGCTGGCTCACTGCTCGGTACCCTCCACCTTGATGAGCAGCACTCAGCACTTGCCTTAGACCAGGAAGTCATTAGCTGTGACATGAGTGACGAGGGCCAGGCTTTCGAGGAGACATAAAGGCTGCTAAGCAGCTGTGGATGGGCACCCATGCCAGTCTGCAGCACGTCCCTCCACCTCCCAAAGGAGGCAAGTCAGAGTGTGGTAATGAAACTGCACATAGTAGAAATGGGATCTAAATGAGTCTAAGCTGATTTATGTTAGCTTTTGTAAAGATTACGCGTATCTGGGAAGTGCTACCACTGTGCAATCGCGACAACAGTCCTTAAGAACTCCGCCTAATGGTGCTTGTGCAGAATATTTATATTCCTCGGCATGGGAACAAGGACCATAATGGATACCATTTTTGTTTTATTAGGGATGCATATTTAAATTAATCTGCTATTTGCCTAAACAATTAGCTGCTTCTGTTTGTGTGCACAAAGCCAAAACTGCAATTAGGCTTCCATCAAAAAAATAAGTCCCAACTAAAACTGTCCCGGTGGGGTCGTAAGAGCTCAGGGCAGAACTTCCCCAATTACTTCTCAGCACAATGGTAATTACGTTAATTGCTTGAAAGGTAAATAACCACTGAACTGGTTTTGGAAACACACACTGGCATTGCCCCTCCTCTCTGATCTGCTCCATGTACCTACAGTTTAAAAGAGGTTACAGTTTAGATAGCCATACACTGGACCCTTCAACTACCACGTCTGACCGTGGTTTTGGAGTCT